TAACCGTAATTTTTCTCTCTTGTCGTTTTGGTCGACTCTAAAAGCATACCCCCCCCCCCCCCCCGTAATCGCGATACTGTCGTCACTTATGTAACCGTACCATATCAGCTGACTCTACCACGGGATGAGATATGTTCTTTCCTGAGGGCCGGTTACCTTCCCTTGACGGATCAACCCGGTAAATTCCCGTGTTATCGCGTAAAGGTGAGGTTCGAGTCCCCAATACCTGGAGGACGGAAGTGGTGGTGTGAATGTGTTAGAAAATTATAGATTTTGATCTGGTAGAAATGATATATATTCTGTTATTTGCGGTGGGTTACAATTCCCGATGCAGTCGCGCTTGTCGGACGTTCGTCCACGATGGGCGGTGTGCTATTCACACCGACGCGTCCATTACACGGTGTCTTTGCCAAGGTATCGTGGATGGAAATTGCATGCGTGAATTTACTTCGTAGTGTGTAGAAATCTGTCCCACCAACCAACGATCCTGCCACAACCTGGAAGGATTTCTTGGATGGAGACATGTGCTAAACCTCGGTTGGTCAGCAGCACCTAAGACTTTGGCTAGAGGCACGATTCCGTGAGCTCAGAGCTTCCATCCGGTACTGGTAGAATGACCTTGATTGCACTTCCGCTCTACGCTTCGTCACGAGTAATCAATCCTCGTGGGGACTGGTTACTCGTGCTCAAATTCTGGCACGAAACGTTGGCAAAGAATTACCTACTTAGTTTACTTACTCTAGCGTTAGGCGAGACGTATATGTTTGAAACAAAATTTAATGAAACTCGACGTTCAGCGTCGTTACAAAATATATACATTAAGACGATGTGGTCTAGCGCCCAAACGGCGCGAGCGACTCAAGCAGCAGGATCACGATATTACCTCTCACGTTAACACGTATTGAGTCGGTGACTATCTGGCTTCTCTGGTTTTAACCCAGATATGCTTGATTCTCACAGTTATGTGTTGGCTGATTTGTATGTAATTTTCTGTGGCTTTGAGTTGAATTTATAGTTATGTTATGAACGGTCAATATATCAAGAAAAATGGGTGATTGCTACGCTGTCGCTTCCAGCGGGTGATAACTGTGTTAATCACGTATAGTTACAGTTACGATACGGTTGCTACACGGACTCTGCTGCTTGAGACGCGCACGCGGAAAAGACACACGAACCGGTTACTATTCACGTCTTCGTAACTCGCCTAACGGACTCTACTACAGAAGAACACCTAACTGGATCGCGTCCAGACGTAGAGTGAAGATCGACAGCCGCGTATCGACCTCCTTCGATCGTGATTTAGTGGGGGCATGGTGCGCACGCATCCTCCGTTATCACGTGGTACCTATGCTGCTCAGGTCTCATCGCCCGTATCTCACGTATCGTCGCGTATCGATGTTGGTGGGGAGTATTCCCCTTACTCGCGCCTATCCTACCCCTCTCATACTTCGGGCTATACGTAAATGTACGGTTACAAACCTTAGAGTTTCCAGATTTTTTACAATTTGTCCATAAAGAGAACAAGTAGGGCTATATCCTAATTTTTTTCAAATTTGTAAATAGTTTCCCGCTATTACAACATTGTATTTCTTTAAAACAATTGCAAAATAAATGCTTACAAAATACTTTTAACTTAAATAATTTGTATTAGGTACGGCTATGTCTCCACTATAGACACCCACAAAGCTCATTTTGGTCGGTTTGTTAGTTCAACAGTTATGATTTATTGAAAAACGGTTGACACTGTATTTCAAACAGCTGTAGAATCAACAATTTTTTAAATTTTCAAAAATCCTTCGAGATACATTTATACATACTAAAAACTACAACATATCAAAGTGTCAACAAAATCCGGAATGTTACTCCAAAAAATGTCCAATTTCGCGTGGAATACCCCTATTATAAAATTAATTATTATGGAATCAGTAATTATTCCATTTCTATAGTTGTTGTATTATTAGTGTTTACCAAATATTTTGTGTATGGTTCGGCCAACCGAAATCGGAAGAACATACAAACATAAGTATTGAAAACAACACAATAGAATGTAAAGTTTCAAAAACCTTATAATTTCAATGGAGGCAACTGTATTTCTTTTCAACATGTTCTCCTACACGTTCAATACAGGTCTGGCATCACTTGACTATTCTTTCGGTTAAAACCTCCTTGAACACATAGTAATCAGACCATGCTAGGTCAGGTGAATAAGCAGTTTGGCAGTTTTTTTAACAGTTGAGAAGCATGTGTGAGGTCTTACCTCGTTATGTTTTAGGAACACACGCGAACTAAGTAAACCAAGCCGTTTGGACTGCATTGCAGGGTTCAAATGATTATCAAGACGATTAGAATGGGTACCGTTGGCGACAGTAGCTCCTAAAGACGTGTTATAACAGGATGCATTAAGACCGGTCATACAACTGGACAGATCGGACACAATCGAAACTGTCAAATACATTTTTTTTGTTGGATATGCGTGCAACTGAATAGAACTTTACTAATGCGTCTGCTCATTACATTCGCATGATGTACTGCACTTCAACTTAAACATTTTTCTGGATGGTTGGTCTACGTCTTAGAAGATATTTCAATCGATGAAATAAAAATTGATCATTTTTTACTTAGGGCACTTTTCCTACGAGGCTGCTTTATACGGGGCAGCCCACCCGATACCGGACGCCTAAGTATCTACTTAGACACAAGGTTATCAGAATATGTTTCGGTACAGAGTTGCACTGTTTGCTGAGCGCAAGGTGCTGACAAGAAATTCATTTTTTTCGAGTCCATTTATTAGGCGATCGAATTTTTTTTTAATGGGTTCACACATTACTGTTGCCATAGTGTTATAGCCCATGAAAGAACAAATTCAACGATGTAAGAATGTTAACCTTCAACTGACCTTCACCCAAAAAGAAGCATTTTTGGTAGAAACGAGAGAAGTCTAGGGACCATGAAAACAATAAACTTTCCACTAAATTATAGCAAATGCTGAAAGTGATGGCTTTTACTAGCAACATACCCATATAGCACATGACACCTTGAAGACGCCCATTTTACGGGTGTTTTAGATCTAAGGCGCTTTTAAGGCGTCTTCAAGACGTCATTGGGCGTTATATGCTCTCTGGGTAGTGTCTAGGACGTTTTTACAATCGCGAATTGTCATTACACATGTAAACGTACAGTCTGTTTATCAAGTTACTAATCCAAATGTATCATTACCCTTGTACAATGGTTTTAGAGACGACTATAGAGTCGGTCGATACAGTTAGTTTTCATTACTTTATTTCCTTCGTCCGTGCATTTTAGTCATTTTCGAAACTGGCCCCTTGCAATTACAATTTCGTTAACAAAAGGGAATAATAAACAAAAGACTTGAACATTTAGTCCGCCATATACGCACGGTAACCTGGGACCCATGCGCGCCGGGTCTTACCTGGGCGTGCTGACTTGCAGACAATACAGCTATAAACCCTACTGTTGGGAGACTCGAAATTTCGTCGCGATCAAGTCGCACCGTGACCACGTGCGCGATATTTTTGTAGGGTCTGCTTCGCCCTGAAGAAGAGGTTTTCCACTTCGACGTCACTTGGGAAAACCCAGGAATTTGCCTTCCCCTTCAGGGCATAACCAATAAGAATGCGAATTTTGGTAACGCCTTCGGCGAACTTGGAAGAAGCGCGACGTCACACGAAACTCGTACATTCAAACCATTCATTCACATGAACACTCGTATCGACAATCACGCACTCGTATCGACAAAAGTCACTTGGACTCAAAGATTTGTATTCATTCGCAAACACTCGATTCGACAAGAACATTCGTATTCGATCACTCGCAAACACTTGTTTCGACAAGAACATTCGTGTAGCGGACCAGGACTCGGGTTCTATTAATGAAAACACCTATTTTCTGCGAGCCCCTTTATTGCGCTCTATTCACACTTGTTTCTTTGGCTTCTTCGCACGTGGTCACGCTCAGTCGACTAACTAATCTCGTTCTTCTTGCCCGACTTCACGCACTCAGTCATACCAACTCTCACTCATTTCCATTTATCCCTACACTCTTCGTCAGTCGTGCCACATTCGTATTCGATCACTCGAAAACATTCGTACTCGTATCTCGTATCGATAATCACGCACTCATTCGACAAGTCACGCATTCGTTCGATCATTCGACAAGACTTGATCACAATACTCGCGAATCATCAGCTCTACCGGTCGAGCAATTATACGATCCATTCTCACTAAGAGAATATTGAAACAGTTGCCTAATATTTATTTGGCGGGCAACAAACTTTTTTACATAGAATGAAAAATACATGAATCGATGTTTATAACGACGAATAGTTGTATTTAAAAAAATAGAGATGACCTTGAATTCTCTGAAACGCCACCACTCCCGGAGCAGACATAGGCGCCATGTGATGAATCACATGTAAGCAGATATTTTTTTCCTAATTAAACTTTTGTGCACTCTCTACCGTTTTAAAGATGTATCTTGGCTCAGTTGCGTGGGACACCCTGTATAGAAGAAAACAGGAGAAGCATGGTACCTATACACAAGTAGAGTCAACTATCCCGTTTACCCCAAAAGATTTTATGATTTCTACAATACAATTTGCCTTTTATATCTTCTTAGAAAGTCAATAGTCTAAATGTTATGTTATTTAGCACTTATAGAGTATTTGTATTGAGAACTAAATGTTTGTATTCTTTCTTCGACTTCTTTGAATTCGTCTGTACATAAGAGATGCTCTAATATTATCAATACTGAATACTCAACTGAAATACTAAACTGCATGAAACAAAGGGGATTATAAAAATGTATTTCTAAATAATCTATTCATAATTTATTAACTGACAATATAAACATCAATCATCGATTCTTTGGCGTATTTCCTAGCTTAATAGCGTTTCAAACAAATTCTCTCATCCCAGTAGGCTCTCCACGATCCGAAGTAACATCTTCCATAATAATATACCTCGTTATTTACGGCACAGTTATTTTTTTTATATCTCCCCGTTTGTCCATTCAAGTTTCCTCGTGTTCCCAGGTCCAATCCGTCTCCTCCGATTTGCTCTTCAGGCTTGCTTTATAAATTTCAAACTGTTCCTCCTCGTCCGGCCAATTAAATTTCGAAGAGTCCTCCTCAATGTCCGATTTCGAATTGGCTTTGTTGTCCTCGAAGCTGGTATTCGCGCTTCCGCCCTCTGTCGACGCAGTCTCCTCGGACCTCGAATAAGTCCTGTTATCCTCCGTGTCGGTGCTTCTGCTCCGTGAGAACGAGATAGATTCAGACTCGTCATCAGCAAATGATGCAACATCTTCGCACTCTGAACTCTGTTCCCCGCTAGGTTCTCTTTCCACAGTCGGAACGTCATCGGTTTTTGGTTTCAGTTCCGTCTTCGCTTGATCTCTGGCATCCTTGATGGCATACTTTCCATCTTCCTCGGACCTGGACTTCTGCATCTGCCACGCCTTCTTGAAAGGGTGTTCTCGTTCCTGCTGATCCGGATCTTCCTCGCTGGCTTGACTCTTTACAATTGACTCCCGTTTGAACAAACCTAGAGATGTGGATCTAGGTAAAGTGTCGGTATTCTCTTTCTTCATTACGTTCCATCCGGAGTCAGACAGTTCACTGTCTTCCTGTGACAGCTTCGATAAGTCCTGTAAAAAGAGATTGAAATATTTAAGGTGTTTCAATTAACCCTTAATCGGACACGTGGCGTCTAAGAGACCACGCAATGTATAAACCAGATATTTCTGAACTGGAACCACCCAATTCCTTAGTTTTGCGTAGTAAAGTAAGTTATTACTAAAACTACTTGTAAATTGTTACTACATGTTATATGAATTTTGTAAAAATTTGTATTGTTTTAAAAGCGCGAACGCTACGTGACCGTTCACGCACAAGATCTTGCATGTCTGATCATGGGTTAATGTGACCACTTACAGTAACTATTGTTTGAAACGATAGAGAAAAAGATCTGAAACCAGAGTGATACGGTTGAATACATGAATGTCTTGGTTAAAGTCATATTTTTCATTGGTTTTGGTTCATTTGGCTTTCTTAAACGGTCTAAATATTTATAATAAAATCATATGTGTTAGAAATTATGTACTTAAATAACTTTGAGTTTTTTAAATGAATTCTGTACTGTTAGTATTCAAGACGAAACTTTTGTCGAATGTATAAACATAATAAATTATTGTTTATGAAGAAATTTCTATATGTGATAAGAAAAGAATAATTTTACGATAGATAATATACGAATAGATTATAATAATACGAATAGATTTCTCAATTTTCATAAATAGACTCCCAAATTTACTACAGCCAAATACATATGTTACATTCGAAGTCAGGTATCTATCGTATTAATAAAACGTTTACGTTTTAACCCTGAACTGCAGACTTCTTTTCTCAGAGACGAATTCGTATTTTTTTTCAATATTACCACCTTGTGGAGAATGTTGAAAGCCCTAGACGTTTGAGTACTTTCAACTAACAGTAAGTGCCACACTATTTCCGAAGTGGTAACAAAAAATAACTTTCAGTTGATTATTAACAATCTTACAAAATAGTCGTTGTTGAATTATGCATTTAAGTAAACAATAATGACTTTCACACCCGATAAAAATACGATCTTGAGCACAATTGTGTGTCAAACGTAGTATTTGTGACTCAATACATAAACTTTCTTTTTTTGTTCTTTTCTTATATTTATGGAGATACTTTAAGTAATGTTTTTAACTGATCCCAAATAGCACAAAAACGTCCTATGTACGTCCGATGGACGTACGTTCCGGACGTTCTGTACATTCGGAGGATGTCCCGAAGAGGTCCATATGACCCCGTTAGGTCCTCGTTAAGATCTGTAAATGTCCTAGGAAGGTCCTATTTACAAAGTGGAGCGACCTGAGGACGTCCTGTGTCAATATTCTCAGAACGTTTCCCGAATATGTCAAAGTAACATTCCCTGTACGTTGTGGGAACGCTTAAAGAGATTTTAAAAACGCTATGGTCATGTCTTAAAAGACGTATAAGAAACGTTTTCCTAATGTTTAAAATTGCGGTTAGGTTTCATTCTGTGCAAGGTGACAGGAGTTAGGTTAGGTTAGTTTGTGTTTAACCAATAAAAGATTAACTTTCCTGCGATTTCCCCACTTAGTAGAAATTAAATCTATAATAGTTAGTTCCTGATAATAAATAAAAGGTTAAATTTCTTGTAAGGAATTATAATGAAAATATAGGTCTAGGGATTATGATCTCCAAGTACATCGTGTTTATTTCTATTTTCACAGCAAAACTCTGATTCGGTGTTGGTTAGAGACAGTTTAAGAAAACACATGTTTTTTCAACTTTCTTGAGGTTTTCGCACAAAACCACTAGTGTCGTTACACTTCTCTATTGGTTCTTTAAAGACTAACACCTTGTTCATGAGGTTCCATCACCTTGCACGGAATGACATTGGCAAAAATACTAACCGAAACCATCCAAAATTTAAGTCTTGAGAACATCCGTAGGACTTTCGGGACGGACGTTTCTAGAACATCCGAAACTTAAGTCTTAAGAACGTCCTAGGGATGTCCAAAATGGACGTAGGACATTCGGATATAAACTGGACATGAAACGGACGTCCTTAGGATGTACGGTGCTATCTGGGATGTATCCTATGTATCCAACCAATGAAACTTGCGTAACCCGTAAGCGATTGCAATGGAACAGAATGAAATTCTATTTGAAAATACAATTCTATCCGATCAAAAGAATTTTACCACGTTCAACACGAGTGACATCCATTAGCGTCAAATGCGGTGATCATAAGGCATGAGTATTTGGTGTGTCCAGAGATCACGTGGGTCGCAGGATGTTCGTTCTTTTTTATTTTGACAGTTCAAATGACGTTACTGATTTAGACTTTGTAACTTTCTCAGTTTTCAGAGTACGCCCCACACTCAAAGTTAGGGGTATCGGATTACAGGCTGTGAGCTCAGACTTGAACGTGTTAAAGCATAAATAAAAATGTAAACCTAAATCTCTGAACATTCAAGTCTTATCGCATAATAAATAGAAAGCAAAAGGTTCTTTAACTCGTTCCAGACGAAACGTTTCATTTTGTTTCTTAACCATTGTAATCCCTGCCTGTAAGGATGTCCTCTTGCTGTCTTTCGTCAAGACGAAATTAAAACTTGAAGCATCTTCGTCCTCTTCGACAGAGGTTATCTGACTACTGCTGGTATACGATCTTCTCCTAGAAGCGTCCCAGATAACCTCTTCCTCGCTCTGGGTGTCTTCTCTAGGAGGTGGTGCTTGTTCACGGTACTCCCTTCGTCGTATGTAGGCGTTATCCTCTTCGGGCTCGCTGCGTTCCTGAGACGATCCCAGCTGGGCGACTCGTGAGCCAACGCTAACCGTCCAGGAATCCATGTTGTCGTCCGCCGAAGGATCCTTCAACAAGGCTAGCTTCCCCTCGGCCGAAGACCTCCTCTTCAAAGAGGCTAAATCCTCTTCTTCGAGCAGGGACTCTCGGTCTTGCGTTGCAAGCTTCTCCATAAATTGTTTCCTTCGTATCCTCAATTCGCTCTCCCAATCCTCCTCGTCGCTGATCCTCGGTTCTACCGAAGGGTGTCTTTTTTCAAGTTTTCTCCGTTGCGAAATCTCTTCTTCGCTTTCTGAGGAGTATATTTTCCTCGCGTCGGGGGCACTCGACAGCAAATGAGGTCTTGTTTGTCTTTGCACTGACTCGTACTCCTCTGATTTACCAAATGGCCGTTTAGAATCTGAACTTCGAGAGGGTGTACGTTCTTTACCAACCAACTCCCAAGAACGATAATCGTCAGATTCCCTAGCCACAGATCTCCCTCTGGACTCGGATTTTCTGTAATTTCTAGATTCATCTAAGTCTTCCCGCCTTCGTGGATACTCATCCTCTTCATCGCTATCATGTGCTGTCAACCTCCTGTTGTCACGACTCCTAGACAGCGAACGTCTAGTTCGCTTAACAGTCTCATCACGCTCCTGTTGTGATCTGAAAAACTCTTCATCGTGCTCAGAACCTCGATAGCCTCTGTCAACACTTGTTCCTCGTCTTCCTATTTCTCTGTATACGTCATCATTTGTGAGGTACCTTCTGTCCAACTCTTTCACCGAATCCCAAGCTGGTACAAACTCGCCTTCCGAGGAATCATGGGAGATGAACGATTTTCTTCGACCTGATTTCTTTAAAATTGGCATGTCGACTTGTTCCTCATCTTCGACAACTTCGTTGTTCGACTTCGCGGCACCCTGGATTATATCCTTCTGCCAATCCCAACCGGTTGAGGCCACCTCATCCTCCTCGTATACTTTCCTCGGTTGCTGATCCGGTCGGATTGGTTTCTGTGTTTCTTCGATGACTTCTGATGCAGGTTTCTCCGTAGAGGAAACTTCTACGGTTTGTATGTCCGTGCTTTCCATTATAACGTTCTTGATCTCTTGCATGGGCAGGTCAAAGAAGAGAGTTATGATGATGGATACGGCTAACACTACAGCTGCTTCCAGAGGATCAATCTGAAAAGGATATTTTATATAATCCTTTAAATAATAGCAAAGTTCATAAGATTCGTATGTGTATAGGATGCCGCAGGTATTATGTAGAGTTGGAAAGAAGTCCAGCGGTATACCATAGGAGTAAGAAGGGTACTTCACTAAGTCTGCGTACCACTGCCTGACACTCCCGCCGTCCAATGGTTAACACTCCAAGACGTTGGGGCAGTATCCCACTCGGTCTCGACATGTCCCGTTCGGTCTCTTTGTCGTGCGATGCTATATATTCCGAGGATGTGTGTTACCGTTACTGCCAATAATGAAAATACATATACCCTATATCTACAATTGTGTTTGAGAAAGTGAGCATATGGAAATTTAACCAATCGGATCCACATTACTTCTGCGGGACTTCTTTCCAGATTTACATATAATATACGTTTCAATATTCTAAAGAGTAGTAGAGAACCTAGAAATGGAACAAAAAATGCCCTACACTATGAAATATACCTTCTGTACCAACAAACTTATAAAACAACAATTTTTTCATATCGTTACTCGATTACGAAATATTGAACTGTTCTGATTTAAACTGGACACACTGTATACTGCCGCCACAATCGTTGCTCCCCATTCTACAGACGCCACTGCCCTCAGCTGTGCCCTGGGAGCATTGACCGCAGGCAATGGCGGGCGCCTGTGCCCGCGAAATTCTAGGTTGAGCAGCACTGTTCTAGATGTTTGTAGAAAAGAGTTCATTGTTAGCTCAGGCACAGAGATAAGTATAAATCAAGAGCCTGCGCCGTAGACAACTGTCCAAGATGACCATATACTGTTATAAAACCTCTGAAAGTGATACACACATAGCTCCAGGCTGTGTACCTTTATAGAAGCATGTTAAGTGTGGTAGGATAAGAATCTTGTCGTCAGACGATTTTTATTGGCATTGGATCAAGAGACCCAAGCTCACAGTCAGTAGTAACATTACCCATTCACTGCAGTCACGCAAGCAGTGCCTTTGGAAATATGGCCATTAGATCATACCCTATTTTCACGAACAGCTGGAAAGTCTAGGCCAATAATTTGTTTCTATTTGGTTCACCCAGATGCGTAAACAACATGTTCTATTATAGAAGCATATTGTAACTTTGAAGCATTATTAACGTACAATGAAAATAGATCCGGCATAGTATCATAAGATACTTCTTGCTCCAGTTAAGTTCTCCTGCTACCGTTCAAAATACTTTACAGTAAAATACTGACAGTAAGTTTACAAATTAACTCACATAATTGAGAGAAATAATATCTTTCCTTTTGTTGTAGACGTGGAGTAATAATAAGGGAAATATTTGTGTGGGGAAACAAAATCTGTTCTTGAGTGACGATATAACTTTTAAAACTATAACTTTTAAATATATAAACTTTTATTTTAAATTGAATCTTTTATTTCAACTACTGGAATTATTTTATATTTGGAATCCTAAAATTGTTAACTGCTATTGTGATATGTTCGTATTGTTTGGAAACTAATTGCAAATTGTATTTAACGAGAATGTTTGTCTTTTTTTTAAATAATTTTGTAGATACACATATGGGTTGACTTACATCTTAAATGCCTCAAGTTCAATTTTTTCTCATGAATTCATTACTATTATTATAAAATATTGTTTATAGTACAAAAGTAAGAATCTAGTGACATTTCTTTGAAAACGAATGATTTCAGAAACACTACTGCATAATGATTCTTAACAGAATTAATGTTGTGGTTTATATTTACTTCTTTTACTTACAGCTCTAAGTAGCTGAAACTCGGTTGAGTATCTTGTGGTCCCTACGTTGAAGAAGAATACTGCAAATTGCGTCAAGTATACTGCATACGATATTCTGCTAAAGATTACTAACCAATGATTCGACATGAACCTATTGATTATTCCTAGGAAAATAAGAATTATGATTATTTACAATCGTTCAATTTGCATCAAAATTTTGTTTTATTTACTAAGGACAGAGCTGTTTAACAGTCTTCAGAAATGGTTCTTCCTTAAATAAGATGAAACAACATTTTATAAATGGATTTTCAAAATTGTTTTAACCTGATTTTTAAATGTTAATAATAATAAGTACAGCATAATTATGGTATGTGGATGAATGTGGCATGGATCGGTCGTGGGTATGTTTGTAGCGAAACGTGATAGATTTCCAAGAGCGCAGTAAGAATTAGATTTGCTTAGTTTCGTGTGACTGTTTCGTCGGGTATTGGGTGATTGGAATTTCTACGAATAGTTGCGTAGTTCGAGAGCGAGGGATGTAAGGCATCGGTGTATGTTGTAGGTGTGGATGCTGAAGACAGGGCATGGTTTCGAGTCAGTTTGTCAGATGAAAGTAGAGTTACCAGTCGTTGTCGTAGATTAGTCGTTGGTCGTGTGTTGTAATTCAGTCGTTTTGTTGTTTTATGTTATAGTTTTAAATTAAATATAGTCCTTATTATTGTAATTTATTGTGTGTCAATTGTTTCATTACCCGCATCCGTGTACATATAGTCCCTACATTGAAGAACTTTTTCGTTCCCAAATGGTATGTTTGAATATAAGCGTTCAATATTGTTCAAATGCCCACCCTTCGTTTTTTTAAAAGCTTTTACGTCTTCAATAATAGAAAAATTCACGTATTGAATTGTACTTATTACATAATATACTTTTGAATAAGCAGAAGATTAAGGACTAAGTCGTGCTAAGCTTTTACAGATTTTGATAACATTAAGAAACAATCACTTAGAACTATAACGGGTTAATAATAACAAAACAAAAATCCCAGTGTCGAAGTAATAATACATAAAATAATTCTCATTATTACAGAAATTCTTAGGACTGACACTGAAATTTTCTTATAGGAAGAATATGAACCATCCATTACCACAATACAAAATTCTAACACAGAAACTTAGTACAAAATTAATTGTTTGAATGAAATCAAATCGAATAGTGCTTGCAATCCATAAACTTTTATATAATTAACAAGAAGTGTCTTTGAGAATTCGTAAACAGGGTATCTGTTTTAACTGGACCTGGTCGATTACCTCGTAAAATAGTGAAGGTATAAAAAATCTTTCTTACAAAAATTGTGTGATATGGAGGGTGAAATAATGTGATATAAATATTCTTTTGGCAGGTAGAGTAGTAAGGGAAATTTCAAAGTCAAATTAATTTTTTACAATAGAAGGTGATATATTTTTGATAAGATTTGTTGAGACGATTTATATGTTATAAGATCACTAATTGTAAGTATACTAAGAAGTCTACGTGATCACAGGTTGTGTGCTACCAAACCTTACGTAATCGTGCTACGCGACTCTCATTAATCTGACTACTTAACATCTTTATGACTTCCTACTACACTCAACGATCATATATAGCACATCGATGAACTCGGCTCAACAAACGCTATCATATTATGACAAAAAATATAGCATTTCGTATAGAAAAGTTAACTGGTCCTTGAAATCTCTCCGAATCTGCAAAAAAATTATGTATACCACATGTCCCCGTTCATACCAAAAAAATTTTTCAGAACATTTTTTTAATAACTTCAGTTTTTTACAAGATATTCCGGTAATTATTCGGAATTGGAGAGTCCTCACCGATTACAATAACCTCGAAATATGTTGTCAAGGTCATCACTCTGAATACCTTTTCCCCATACATATTATCGCCGCTCGGCCTTAGTTTGCCAGATATTCAAGAAAATATGTTTGATGTCTTTATTGTATGACCAATTTAACATATTACATATTTAAGGCATTATACTGATTTGAGTTACTTAGAGCCAGTTAAAAAGAAAAAACTACTGTTCAAAGCATTATACTGATTTGAGTTGGTTAAAGGTAGTTAAAAAATACTGGGGGTTGCCCCGCGGGTGGCGCGATTCATAGGGTCCCAGCCGCGATGACCCTCGCGTCGCCCGCGGGGCAACCGGGCCGAGGGGGTGGTACTGGGGTTACTACCTCCTTTCGCGGTCGGCCCACGAAAAGACAGCGTCGAGAGGTGACCCCTCGGCGCTGTAGGTAGGAGGTAGAGGGGCGGCATCACAGCCGTCCCGGGGCGGGGCGCGGGAGGGGGCAATCGCTCCACCTCCAGAGAAGAGCCCTTGCTTTAAACACCTATAGTGGAGGGCAATGGGCGGGGCTGGCCGCGGTCATGCCGATCGTTTCCGTTGCCAGCCCTACACCCAAGGGTCACCGGAAGGTTTTTAGTGGGTGAAACCTCACATTGGCCGTCACCGCCCCCAGCGGAGGCGGTGCACCTTTTCAAGGTTTTCCCCCGTAAAAAAAAAATTAGTTAAAAAATACTATACAGGGTGTTCCGAAATAGGTGTGAGTCCTTGAAAGAACCCTGACCAATCAAAGCGCAAGTCTGCCAGCTAAGCTCCCGCGGTAGCGTTGTCTATGCGCTGCACTTGTACTACGAACAAGTAAGTCGGCATGAATCGAAGAAAACTGTGCAGAATAGCAAATGAAAGAGACATCACAAATAAAATCGAACTTTTTATTTTCATTTGCTATTACACGCAGTTCCGTTCAATGCCTGCCGACTTGCTTATTCGTAGTACAAGAGCAGCGCGTAGCCAACTCTACCGCGAGAGCTCAGCTGGCATACTCGCACTCTGATTGGTCGGAGTTTTTTGTTGATATAATCGTTAACAAAACCTCGGAGAACCTTTCTGCTAAGGAAAAAATTACTTCAAATCACCCCGGGGTCACCCCTTTCAAGGACTTACATCTATTTTGGGACACACTATATTGTTTTATATATCCTATAGTACCTACACACCACACACCTCTAGCGTTGTTTACGTGCGAGTCATTTAAAATATCTATTCTATTTTATCAGTATTATCACATTGGATTTTTGGCAGAATTCAACGACGAAATAATAAAGTATTTATTCTACCAGTAGGTTTCTTAAATAGCTCTAACTAACTGAGACCAGTATAATGCTTTGAACAATACCTTTTTTGTTTTTTAACAAGTCTTAACCAACTCAGATCAGTATGAATGCTTTGAAACGTATTTTTTTAAGACACTACCACCTTGCGGTACACGATTCACAGGTAAACAAGACTAGAGCTGTGTGGTGGGTACTGTAGAATACCACAGACCAAGAACATAAATGTTGTAAACAGCAACATACAATGTACAGTATCGAATATATTTTTGCGAATATCTCGGAAACTAAATTTGAGCGGCGGTAACATGTATAGGAAAAATTGTTCAGAGTGGTGACCTTAACAACATATTTCAAGGTCATTGAAATCGGTGAAGACGCCCCTATTCCAAATAATTACCGATATTCCACCGGGTCCAGTTAAAATAGACACCCTATGGTAGTAAATATAAATAGTTATCATACGTATACAACATTAAAAGTCGTACCTCCATGATTCGTATGGCACGCAAATATGAACCAGCATATGGCCAAGGCCCACACGACTGGACAGATCACAGCGTAATTCGTCGCTTCTTCAACATCGTATACGTAATCTCTTCTGGCTAGATGCCAAGGTGAAAATAACGACCATGATCCTAAAGCCATTGCGATCAACCAACCCAAGATCACTAACACCTAAAAGTAGTAGATCAACATTTCCTCTCTGAGAAATAGACTATGGACTGTATTCAAAGGTTACCTTGTGGATTCTGACGTTCTTTCCAGTATAATGCAGTAACACACCGAGTCCCACGCCGAATACATACGGCGTGGCTCTATGCAATGGTAGCATATACGTTAAATTGGCAGTCTTGTAAAGGTGCTTTAATCTAGAATCAATAAATCGCACTTTGATCAGTTCTTCGAAATTTCTACGAAAGATCGAATCAGAATAATGTGGAATTGAGAAATAAAATGGATCTTTAATTCTCTTGACACTTTTGCAACAGTTATTTTCTTATTCTCTTACAATTGGTTGGCTTATCTTCTAACTTGCATTACGTGACAATTATTGTAGGTGTTTATTATTAAAAGGAGGATGGAAATTATGAAAATTGTTTTAAAATAGTATGAATGTAATCTCAGTAAACAAAAACAATAGAAAGTCAAACTTTGGAATATTGAAACTAGTAGTTTGCTGTATAATTTACATTCTATTAACATTTAAATTTAAATTGTTTCAACTGAATTTAGATACTCATTTTTATTGGCTTGAAATTAATGTATTTAAGACACAAAACTATGTTGCGGCAACCAAACAGAATGTTTACAAAGACGTTATGTATATCATCAACAATTGCGAATGTATTTATACTTTAACAACAGAAGTTACCCAGATGTGAAATCAGTTTTGAAAAAATAGTGGTTGGAAATTATAGAACTCGACCTCCTAAGAATTGAAATAAGTATGACTCGCCCGAAAAATTCAGTATCGGCCAGAAAAATGGCGTCAAAATCCGCCATAAGCAATTCTGAAAATGGATGTAAATAACTTTCTTTTTATAAGTTTTCTGTCTTCTCCTGTTTTTTTCTGCATACATATACATATGTATACAATATGTCTATTTTAAGTGTCTACACTTGATTATTTCTGTAGGTATCAAAAATACGAAAAAATGTTTTAGATGAAAGTTATATGGTATCGAGGGGGACGTATTTTGAAGATAATTGTTTGACCTTGAGGTAACCTTGGAATGTGCTGTGAAGGTCACCTCTATATTTTTGAATAGAACTCCACATTTTTTATCATATTTTCCAATAGCTGACATCGAGGTGTATTCAAACCACTAGATATAGTTGTATTTGTCGTAATATTTTGTTGAGTTATTAACACTCAAATTTTACGTGCCGCCGGTATTAGCGTTACCCAATGTACACCACGAGGAGATTGTTCGGCCAGACTTTGTACATCATGGTGGTTCTAAAAAGAAGCGATTGTGCGTGCGTGCGTAGTGCTTGTATGTGTGTATGTCTGTTTCAAATCAATCTGACGTAAGATGGCTATCCCTCGATATGCGCTCCATTATTAAGAATAATTTTTGGTAGTCGAAGTTTGAATTCCTGTCCTATCTTTTTTTAACATTGTTGGTGTTATTTTTGCACACGCGTTTATTATTCTTTGGTGCATTTCCGTGCGACTACAAAAAATTATTTTTTGTCATGCAGGTATAATTCACCATTCTGGCGATATTTCGATAGTTCGACACTGAATAGAGTATCGAATAAATATTTTGAGGCGAAATAATTTTTAAGTAGCAAAAATGTAGTTGAATAACATAATGAATAAAATCAATGTGATATGCGTTCCATCATGAATAAACGAATCGCTATCTGAGGAAACGCTACACGTATTTTATAGCTAGACTGTGGATGTTTATGCAAAATGACATTTTATAAAGTAATTCATAAAAACAAGAACAAAGGTAGGAATTTCTTCGTTCCCTTCGTATCTTATTGGGTAAAAGGGGGAATTACATATAGAACGCTGAAAATAAGCTGATGTTTGTGAATTTATAAAAAAAAAACTATTAAATAAATCATTATAAAACTTCAGTACTTTATATTTATCGTTTCAAATTACAACAAATTTTTTTTGTTAAAAATGTCAGTTGTAAGTATCGCTATTGAAGATCATTCTTGCCTCGCCGCCGGAGATATAAATTAGCTAGCATTCTAGCTTCTTCGTCTCAAATGGAAAACTCAAAAATATTTCTTATTATATCTGAAATTATATCGTCGATGAACGAAAAATACTAATAAAAGGTATTAGTAATTTTAGAAGGTTGCAGACCTTATAAAACCAGAGTATGATTTTTAGGTTAATTTTTTTATTCATTTATGCAAAATGAAGTTTAAATTAATCCTTTCGTTAAACATCCAGGTTCATCGACTATAGTTTGTTATAATGTGGTTGTGTATACCAGAACAGAAGGATTGGTTGTGTATTTTGTATTAAATCGTACTCGCCAATTTATACCTACGGCGAGGTTATTAAGCAACGGCGAGGTTATTAAGCAACAGCGAGGCAGTAGCAATTTCCTTCAATGGCGACATTTACAGCCGAAATTTTTAATAAACAATACTTTTTTTGCAACTTTAAACGATAAATATAAAGTACAGATCGTTTTAGAATGATTTATTTAACAGTTTTCTTGTAATAAATTCACAAAAACGAGCTTATTTTCTGTGATCTATATGTAATTCCGCCTTTAAGAATAACATAAAAAACTCGTTGCATCTGATCAAAGCTATGTTTTTTTATTGTATTTCACAGAACCCAATACGCTATAAATCCATAAAATCCACAGTCTATTCATAGTGCTCAGGTACTGCAAAGTGAAAGCATCGAGTATTCTTCATAGATTTATTCATTGCTGGCAAACCACGAATAAAATCTTATTCAAATTACATTCAGTCTGAATAATGCTGCAAATTTATTCATGACTAACGGTGTAATTTTTTCTCAAATAATATCCTAACTTGTTATTCACGGATAAATTCTAAAATTGAATTCATTTTTCAAGATAAAATTCGTCCGATTATGGCATTGGATACTCATTATATAGTTAACACCGTGCTAATGGGAGAAAATACGGAAATGTGTTTAACACTACGGAGCATAGTGTGGGAATATCACGAGTATAAATAAAGCAACAGGTACGAGTTTAAAAATATATCAAGACATGCATATGTATACTTACGACATTCCGTGAAAAATAACGAGAGAAAGGTAATTGCTCATCGTCGCTATGTACCGAAGAGTGGCTGACAGTAAGATGAAGAAGAAAATTAATAGAATCCCGATAATCGGCTTACATTCCAAGAAGAATACCAACATCGGAGCCAAAAGAGACAGCTGCATGTCGAGTGCAAGTTGATGGCTGTGAGTCGCGCACTAGAAATCAATAAAAAAAATAGTATCTGAATACCAACAGTTTATACACACATTTAAAAAAGTACATATCTATGACACATGGAAACGATTGACATTTTCGCTGTCTGATTATTTTAATATCGTTAACACTAAAAGTACCAGCGTTGAATTATATTAAACTAAATTGTATACTATAGTAGTATACAGAATATATAATACAATTTAGCATAATATACTATAACATAAAATGTGCAGTAAATTAAAAATCAACATAAATACCGTTAAAAACACTATTATCATTTCAGTAATCGTAAAATAAGAAATCTGAAGGCCCTCATTTTGACAGGTTTGGTAAATCTAGTATTAATTTCTGTAGGTTTTAGGGTAGATGTCCTAATTACTGCCACCTTCATATTGTAGCGTAACTTCATTTAATCATTTTACGTGTAGTTTAACCAAAAAATCGTTTCAGTTTAAGACATAATATATTTAACATCTCTCTCATTAAAAAAATAGTTTCATACATTAAATATGAAGAATTAATTAATAATTAATTAAAATCTACAAGCAATCCTAGTGTCCCTATAACTGTCAGCTCAAAAAGTAAAATAATTCTTACAAACTTTAAAAATTCATTTTGTAAATACATGTAGGTTGGAAATAGATGTAGAGTGAATAGTAAAATTACGACTTCTTTTTAGTATGATTTCACCATCAAATCTTTCGTCCTTCAAAATTAATTTTGAAATACCAGGTACATACAAGTACATGTATTTCTTTGTTTTTATGTAAATCATAGTTCCAATTTAGTAATAAAAGTTTTCATACGCGATTCTTTATAAGTTACTTTTCTATTAAGTATAATAAATAAAGGGGTAGTATTAGGAACACTAATAATTGGGACATTTTCCCTATAGTACAGCAAAATTAAACAGTACAAAAATCTAAAACACTGTAAATGGGACTCGTTTAGGAGAGGTGCGAGTAAAGGATAGAAATGAATCGAAATATTCAAAAAGATTCTGTTCAAATGTTTGTGTTAAGGTGGCTATTAGAATTAGATAGATTGATACACAAAGAGATTGTGCAACACGGCATTAAATTTTTGGGCGCCGGGTGTAGTTATTCTGCTGGTGTATTTCTAAAAAAAGGGAGGTGATATGAAATTTGAGATTTTCAAAGCAATACTTAATTTTGGAATGTTTTAAATACCATTTCTTCGAAAGGAAAGAAATTCTGTATGTACAGCAAATTCGTCCACGCGTTGCTTCTACAGAGCTCAGCATTAGGTATTACAACGCTGTTCCACTGAGGCCCCAATCCCATGTGCTCCATTACGAATGCGTACCAGAACACTACCGCAAGTAAAGCTGGCGTGAGTCTATACAATAATAATGATAGATTACGTACCGTTCAATATTCAAGTTGACTTAATTACTACTTTTTAAAGTTTATTGACACTTCTATAGCCGCTGACGTAGTTTTACGTCATAGTACAAAATTATAACTGGTTACCACTGACGTAGTTTTATGTCATAAAATGTACAACGGACTGCTATTTTATTTTTATATTTATAGGGAGACAAATGACTTGTTCATAAAAATGAGCATTTGAACGGAGTTAAAAATAGTTTCGATATGAAATTCAGACAAATGTGTTGACATGGTTTTTGGTATAAAAAGCTTAGAAAAATTTCGTTGTTCTACACTCTACTTTACTTATACGTCCTTGGCTATACAGTGGTGGGTGCAAGCGAATTACACGATACGACATGATAAACGACAAAAATCAAGAATGACGAAGTTGCGTTCGAGGATTTTATTCCGAGTTATTAATTGTTGAAAATACGCGTGAAATACGTCTGGCGCGATGCGTGATACTACTCCAATAGTCGATTCCCAGCTAATACAAGGAATCGATAAATGACCCAATAATTAAATATATAAAAATGAAATAAAATGGAATCAATGAAACCAGCACGTTAAACGACTGAAGAGCGCGCCTCTTGAGAAGAATAACCCGTCGTGTCGGACGTATCTACGCGTATTCGCCCATATTTTCAACAATTATTAATAACTTGGAAACAAAGCCTCGAACGCAATTCCGTCATTCTAGATTTTTGTCTTAGTTTTGCATGTACAACCACTGACAAAAAGTTTTCCATCACACAAATTAATACGAAATTCACTGACAATATTCATATCTGAGAACTATAAAATACTATCATGTACAGCTACAAGTGATGGGAAACTAAAAAAAGGTTAATACGAAGTAAATAACAATAAAATAACACAAACATCCATTTATTATGAAAATGAAATACGATAAAAAGTGAAATGTTACATGGAAGAAAATTTCCGATCCTATTTGTTAATTCAAATAATTTTTGGTACTAATATATGCCAATATATTAAATAAATTATGCCAATCCTCCAGTGACCAATTTGCACGCTCCTTACATTGTTGTAAGCGTTCCCTTTCATGCTTTTTTATAAGATATGGTTTCGTCGATACTTTTCGAAATAAGAAACCCATTTCATTTAAACGATTCCTGACCGTAAGGTCAGAAACGTTTTGAGCTAACTACTAATTTATTTTTCTGGAAGTTAATCGTCTCGTATTTTTTACAATATGACGTAATTTTCTATCATCTCGCATAGTTATTGAACGAGGGCGACTACATCTTTCGTGATTAGATACACTTCCCGTTTCGTTATATTTTCTTTTCAAGTGACTGACTGTACTGTGACTGGATCCTATGATTTGTGCAACTCCTTTTTGGCTATTTCCTACCTTCAAAGCTCGATTATTCTTACCTTTATATCATTCGAACACTTTGTGTTGTGGCATATTGAACTTTTCACTTGCTTGTGTAGTGAATAAAATTGTACGACTAACTGACTCAGTAGAGGTGAACTTCTATTTACATTTCTGTGGTCTCTTCTTGTGTCTATGCTTATAAACTATGCCTCAGATATTCAAGAACGTACTTATTCTAGCTATGATCGGAAACTTTTTTCCAGGAACTCTCCTAATCGGAAACTTTTTCCCATGTAACATTTCATTTCTTATCATGTTCCATTTCGTAATAAATGGAAATTTGTGTTAGTTTATTGTTATTTACTTCGTATTAACGGCCTTTCAGTATCCCATTACTTCAATCTTTATATGATAGTATTTTATAGTTTTAAAACAAGAATATTTTCAGTGAATTTCGTATTAATGCGTATAATCGGAAACCCTTTGCCAGGGGTTGTAGAATTCACCCCGTGGAAATTTCCATATTTTTATTAACAACTTGTATAATAATAACTTTACAATATATTGTTTAATGTAAATTTTGTATACTTTCATGTAAATGTATTTCATTATTTTTTTTTAAATAATTTTTAAACTTAATAAAGTTTAATAGTTATTTGAATTTTAATATTTCCATATTTATAAATCTGAAATTTTTATGATTGGATTTTTAACCTGTGAATGTCTTTCAATTTCAAATAACAATTGATTTACAAAACAATGTTTTTCATCTTCATTCTCATTTTAATGCTAGAACCCTGTGGTAACCAGCTATAGACTTTTATAAATGGAATATGCCACCAGTTTGTAGTTGTAGATCGCACGTTAGAATCGTCTCACAATGGTCGGAAATCACGAGGACCTGGCTAAAACCACAAAAATGAATATTTAAATTTCGGGTTTTGGATTATTTGCTTGGGTACATAGATATAGATAGTAGGAATATTAAACGGCAAGGGGTAGACATGTAGATCGTTTCTACCTGCGTCTATAACTCATAATCAGTGCAAAAGTGACCGCAGTTCAAACCGCGCTTTACGCCGAAAAGAAGCTAAACGTGACGCCCACTTCAAAACATTGTAACTTTGGTGAAAGTGCATCAAATTTAAATTCAAGAAATGGACCTTACTACTAAAAGTAAGTAAAATCGATATCTATATTTAAGAAATCATAATTAAAACGTAAATTATGACAATTTTTAATCTCATTGTATAAGAAAATACAGAAAACTTTTGTGTAAAAATTTTTACAATATAGATGTATTCAGTATTCTACAATATTCTGCTGAGAGGCTCCATGTATTTGTAGTAGATACATACTAATACCTAAAACAGTAAATCATCGATGAGTGTTCGAAAGCTCCTCGGTACTGACAATGAGTGGTGAAACGTCATCCCCACCATTAGGCGGGTCCTGCATGGAACAAATCAAGCGCCCAGTGGTCGGAATAACGTCTGAACACTCAGTGCCGAGGAGCCTTCGAACACTCATCGATGATTTAGTGTAGAATCAACCAAAAAAATTCTGCCCCAACCTACCCCCTGGAAGTAATCGATAAAAGTTGTTATCTCCATAATTATTGAAGATAGAAACTCCGGTTTTATTATTTTAAATTTTTTCGGTTTTATTTTTTTATAGTTTTGTTATTTTGCAAATTTGAGCACCGAACTAAGTATCAAAAAATTGGAAAAAATATGTCGATATTCTGTATGTGATTTCCTCTGCACTTTCCTCTAGGACTACTTTTCCTCAAGGCGGCGGCGCGCATACCTGAATTCGTACACCGCGACCTTCCTTGGTCTGAGCTGGCTACAACTGTAATGTCCACGAATTGAGGAAATTAATTTTAAAGAGGAAAGATCACAGATTATGGACATATCTTTTTCGAAATTTTTCATACTTGAACAGAAGCTCAAATTTGTAAAATAACAATATTTTTAATATTTCCATTGCAAAATTAACATGACGAATAACGAAAAATTAGTTAAGAGTAATCATCTTTTACAATTAAAATTAAAAAAAGAACAATTTTTAATACATCCAACTTCAACATACTTGTCGGCGATATTACATCCGCCATTTTGTTTTTTTTAATTTTGATTGCGGGTTTATAATCAGCGACCTCGAAAACCTCAGTATCACAAATTTTGTAAAAATCAAAGAACATATTTTTGTCAGGTTTCCGCGATTTTCGACTATTGTGTATCGACTGCAAAAGTCTTAACTGAATTACCAAAATTTTCTTCCGTAAAAATACCATCGTGTCATTATAGTATTGAAATCTTTTGACAAAAATGATTTTGTCTTCTTCGATTAAGAGATCGGTGATTAATAAAAAAGAATATACCTAATATATCTGGCGATAAGACGACAAAACCAACGAATCTCTCCCCGTGTCTTCAATTCGTGCGCCATGTTATAAGCAGTTAACACGCCACTCAATAGCAAGAACGCATCCGTATATACCATCGATACTCGTAAAACGGAACTGATCGGATTGTTTGCAACCTATTCGGAGAATAGTTATTAAATATGAGGATCCATAATAGATTTTCAAACGGCAAGTGTTATAACTAGACTGCGGATCTTTATGCAAATTCCAATATTTACAGATTGTTTCATCGAACTGAAATTGAGGTAGACATTAATTTTTTTCATTAACTCCTTAAACCTTGTGGTTCGTCACTGAAATTGCAGTCCCTAATGGCATGAATTTTTCACCACTAGCGTGTATATACGTCATAACCAATACTTGGTAACAAATGTTGTACATCACGAGAAATACAGGTAAAATTATACATTCTGAACACCGAGATTTCGAAAGAATTAAAGGCGTTAAAAAATTGTTCTAAAAACTTTTCATTTACGAATATGTCCATCATTCCTGCTGAGTATTGATTTGTGTCATGACGCATATACAGGGTGGATCACGAAATGTGATCAGCTTAGATTATTCTACTGCTAGCTGTTCGATCGAAAATATTTTACAAGCTTAACTATCAGTGCAGACGTTATAAATAGAACTACATAAGCAGTCGTTCTTTAATCATTTACGCGAATGTATTGCAGCTGATGGACACCATTTTGAACATTGTTTTAATTAAGGTAAATAATACTTTCTTAATATTGGTTTAGAAGGAAAAAAGTATTATTTTATGATGTTTGCCAAATTCGTCTCAGTATCTGTTAAAAGATGGGCGTACAAAAGTTATAGGTTTACCTATCTACAAAAAACTAAAGTGGGCCTTGAAAAGTCTGGACAAAAGTGTTAAAAACAAATTTGGTACAATCATCTTAAAGCTCTCCTTGAATCATGTTATATTAACCAACAAAAAAATTCGATCGAACAACTTGCAGTAGAATACTGTAAGCTGGTCACCGCTAAAAGAACTAAAATAATTAAAAATACAGCAAAATTCATAGTCATCTGTACTGAAATTTTTTCTATTTTATATTTTATACATTTGTGGCGGCACTACTTCCTACATTCGCTATCAGAGGTCTACCGAGTTGACACCTTTCCCGCAACTACCTGAAGCCTTCCTCGTTCGTATATATACGTCCTTAACCGACCATCGTATATCCCCGCGTCTAAGGCAGGGTCTGCTAGAAAGCCTTACTGACGAGTCCACTAGCAGGCCCAGGACGAAACGCTCCCTCTCCCTCTCCCTCTCCCTCTCCCTCTCCTTTCCTTTTCACATTCTTCAGCCAACAGTTTGCCGCCAAATTGGTGACCCCGAGAAGAGCATACGCAGCAGACGAAGGAGACCGACCGACAACGAGGAAGCAGCCTACAACGCAAGGGACGCGCCTACCAGAAGGATGGACGGACATCACTTTACAATTGCCGAGACTACGTAATCCCTCTCCTAGGATGGCCATCAGCAACGCACGGAGGAGCACGCGGCGCCACGATTTTCACCCTCCCAATGGCCACTCTAGGACAGCAGCATATACGGCTCGATAAGGTTCCAAGGCGACGCGCCTGGCCACGACGATCCTGCATCTTCGGCACGAGCAACGTGCTCGCCATTCAGGGTTTCCTGCAGCTGGACGACAGCGACAGCGACAGCGCCTCAACAATACCCGCTACGACATGACGCAGAGTCAGCGGACGACCAGAGCGCTACAAGTAACGCAGTTTCACACAGATCGTCATCGAGTGGGCACCGATCACAACGTCCCCGTCCTCGTTGGTACTCAAAGGATTCGACACGAACTGACATTAGGAAGAAGAACTCGCTCTGATATCGTTCATCACTGGCAAGGGGGTACTGTGGCGGCACTACTTCCTACATTCGCCATCAGAGGTCTACCGAGTTGACACCTTTCCCGCAACTACCTGAAGCCTTCCTCGTTCGTATATATACGTACTTAACCGACCATCGTATATCCCCGCGTCTAAGGCAGGGTCTGCTAGAAAGCCTTACTGACGAGTCCACTAGCAGGCCCAGGACGAAACGCTCCCTCTCCCTCTCCCTCTCCTTTCCTTTTCACATTCTTCAGCCAACAGTTTGCCGCCAAACATTCATATTTGCGACAAATGCATAAAATGCACAGTCTAGTTATAACGAAGTAAATTGATTAGTTTATGCAGCCGTAATATTTTTCACGATTTCAAGAATAGTATTCTTACTAATTTTTCATACATACCTCGGTAAGATCGATTCGATTAGAAAACGGTAATCTCGATATGGCTATAAGCTGATGAGCAAGATAAAGGGTAATCGTGACGAGTGTCCTTATTCCGTGAATGCACGTAATATCGACTTCACTTGAATGTACTTTTAATAAAGATCTGACGGTTCTCCTCAAGGAAAAAGACATTATTATTCTTTCAGAATAGTTACCTATAAAAAATAACAAAAATTAACAATTACACAGAAAAGACATTTATTATTTTCTAATATTCTTTTCAAATATCTTAAAGTTTTGTATTCTATCTTTCAATACAGCTGAAACAGTATTTTTCATTTTCACTACGTGTGTAAATAATTGTTGCAGAGATCATGTTAACTAGTCTGATTAAATGCTTTCTGCCGGGGATAGTACAACCTTCAATACAACCCACTAATCACTAAAAATTCCTTATACCTGTTTTTGAAAATTCAATTGCTTTATTTGTGAATACTTTGTTTGTGTCGTAATGTGGAAAATACCACTGTATACATTAATATTAAATTTTATTTCTATATTGTGTATATTGAATGAAGGAATAAAAGTTGACGAATCGACAAAATGTAATTATGAAACACGAGAATAAGTAAAAAATAGGCAGAATTATGAGAATTCGTTTATTCGTATTTCGTTCCATTTGAGCTCCGCTGCCACCCTGTAAAGCATTGAAACCTATACGAGGAACACCCTATATGATTTGATCTACTTTTAGTGCTTTTAAACTGATTGGGAGTCTGAACTCATAAAGTAAAGCAGTGTAAATCTTTCTGTCTATGCATACCACTTTTAACCTATTGTATTTATGATTACTTTAGATTCATAAATATTATTATTATATTATTGTATTTAGGGACACTTAACGAATTCATTAATACATATATGACTGTTTAAAAAAATGACCAAATTTCCAGCAGGTACTGATGTGCACATGAATTTTAATGTTTTACTGTAAAATTGCAAGCGTTAAAAAGAAATTCGTCAAACTGTTAAAAATTGTTGAACTGTAAAAGACAAACGACAAAATAAAAGGTAATTTATTATTTGAATAAATCATACATCCGAGTAAATCAACTTTAATAATATTCAGATCTAAATACAAGTACAAAATGAATCACTTCTAGAATTATTTAATAAAACGTTCTAATTGACCCTAAAACAACACAGAAAAAAACATATGTGAGGACTTACCTTTTCTCTCTGATACTACTATATAGTCTCTCACTGTCGCTATGAGGACGAGACAGACGATCGTCGCGTAGAAATACCTGAATCACGACATAATTCAAAATAGACAATTAGAGGTTTTAAATTTAGAGAGAAAAGCATTTCTACGCTAAATCGACAATACTTACAAGAATTTAATGTCAGTCTTAAGTAATGGAATACGAATTGTATTACCGAGTTAGCTTTAATTAACATTGAATTAAAACTATTAAAACAAGAATTTTTTAATCAACAAATAATCTTTTTGAATCAAATAGAAAACATCGTAATCTTTTTTATAGATGTACAACTAATACCATATAAATATGATGAATGTGACTTTTTTGATTGTATGTGCATGTTTGGCAACACCTATCATAAGATTATTAATTATTAATCATCTATAAAAAATGAAAAAATAAAAAGAACGACCATTTTAAAGATTTTGGGTAATTTTATCTAAATCACAGCGCTAGTATCTCGATCCGTTAATTATTCTTGTTATGGTATAGTCTTGAGGAATACTTACAAAACGCCAATCGTCTCTTTCGAATAGCTATCCGACTTCTCTTTGACGTAGCACATGTGGGGTTCAACGTCCACAGTGAATTTTATTCCTGTGGTGGAATTGTAGTGACTCAATGCCTGTTCCAATATATTTTCAGCATCCTCAGCTGAACACACGGCTGGAAGACACAGAGCCCAATTCACCGTCGTAAATTTTGGAACAAAATGACCAGGCTGTGAAAGAAACAATGTAAAAAACTAAAAGATACCGTTTTACACAAATCTATAGAGAATGGATATGATTTGGTAGTGTAACCGTGTGCAAAGTGGTTATGTATAAACAAATGAATTGAAAATGTTTTATAATGTATTTTCTAAAACCTAGTTCCTGGGAAAAAGGAATAGAATAATCCATTTGTTACATGTTTAGAATACCATCTACTAACTACGAATTTAGGACTACTCCAATTACTTGTATTCGGTAAATATTTGGAATAGGAGAGGCAGCTCTAATGACCTTGGCCTAGACATATGTTGTCAAGGTCACCCTTCTCAGTGACCTTCAGAAGGTTTTAACCGTCGCTAGTTTTTTATTCAAAAGTTATACGCAACAAATGTGTGCAAAATGTAGAAATTATTTGCAATATTGAAGGGATCTAATGACCTTGACCTTGACATATGTTGTAAATATCACCTTCCGAGTAACCTTGAGAAAATTGTAGCGGTTGCACTTTATTTGTTAAAAACTTATTAAGAAATAAATTTCCCAATATAGAGATGTCTGATTAACCTCACAATTTAAATCTTACCTAAATAGTATAAACATTTTATTTTTAACACATCTACTTTTTTAAGGGATTGTGTGGGCGGGCTCCGCCCCTCTTCCTGCAACCCCACCCCGAGAAAATCTAATTCTAAGCTGACCCAACTTCATTTCTGATTAAATTAAAATGAGATTTGGGTTAGGTTAACATTTCCCATATAATTAACAATTTCACCCCCGCCCACGCAATTACTTAAAGAAGCAGATGTTCTAATAATATAATATTTATATTAGGTAAAATTTAAATTATGAAGTTAAGTATACACTTTTGGCGGTAAACTGTTGACTGGAAAAATGTGAAAAGGAAAGGAGAGGGGAGAGGGAGCGTTTCGTCCTGGGCCTGTTAGTGGACTCGTCAGTAAGGCTACCTAGCAGACCCTGCCTTAGACGCGGGGATATACGATGGTCGGTTAAGGACGTATATATGTATACGAACGAGGAAGGCTTCAGGTAGTTGCGGGAAAGGTGTCAACTCGGTAGACCTCTGATGGCGAATGTAGGAGGTAGTGCCGCCACACACTTTTATATTGCAAATTTGTTAATAACTTTTTAAGCACAATCCTTCTCAAGATGACTGAGGAGGGTGACCTTGACCACATATGTCAAGGTCAAAGTCATCGGAGCAGCCTCCCCTATTTTAAATATTTACCTACTATTCGTTAAGGCACAAATTGTACAGTTATAAAATGATTAAATCATTAATAATCTGCTCCTGATAACACTGAACATAATTTGTGGAACCACTTTATTATTATATAATTTTTCAAAGCCTTTTCAAAAATTTCTATCGAAAAATTGTTACAAATTCCTATTTTAATACTATTCTTCTACAAACATGTAATTAAATTCAATTTCTAATAAAGCTTAGAATTCTAAAAAAACGCTTAAAATTGAATAAGTTCTGAATCACATCGCGTTAATCTAATCTACAGACAATTTAGAATGCCATTCCACAAGCATTTTCATCTTTTTAAGCCCGCTTTTCAATGAATTAAACTTTTCTAACCGTCTAACTGGAGAGGTAATATTCGTAATTTTCTCTAATGACGACGATCGTTGTCAAAAGATTTACTGAATGTAAAAAATGTAACAAATGACAATGTACATTTTGTATATAATTTCTTTCTGTATAAAATTACTAATTTGCAACATATACAATGTGTCTGAGTTAAATGAGAAGAACAGTTAAATACACAGGATGTTATTTGTTAGTTACACAGGATGTTTCCGAAAATGTGGTAGAATCCGCAAGAAGGTGATTCTATATATTAAAGTAAATCGAAAATATAGAATAAAATTTTGTTCATTTAAGATTTCTTTTTTGAGAAAAACGATTTTGAAGAAAAGTCTGAAACATGTGTGTTCGTCACGGTAGTAAGTAGAAACGGAATGCAATGAGCAGACGCGTTAGTCAAGTCCTATTTATTTGCACGCGTATGCAGCAGTATTCAAAATCAATATTCTCGAAAACGAAGTCTCGAATGAAAAAATTTTATTCCACATTTACAACTTATTTTTTCACGTAGAATATCCCTCACCCGGTTGTAACACCAAGTTACATGTCACCCTGTATTTATTTTATTAAGTGAAAAATTGCTGAATATATCGCCTTAAGCCATAAACCTCCTCGTCTCAGATATAAATAATCCGAAAACGACTATGTTCTTCGCAACACTTTCAATAACCGACTAAATTTTACTTTTCGTTGTTGTTATGGAAACAGTGTGCCACTTTCTGAAGGTAAGTGTGTCAATTTAGAGGTACTGAAACGTTAGAGCTTTCAAAATTCTCCCCTAAGGTGTGATAATGAAAGCAAATTTCGAACTCGTCTCTGAAAGGAATCATCTGTAGTTAAGAGTTCAAGAAGCATGAACCGATGATTAAGTGTTCAAATTCTTCACTTATTCGAACGTCTGTATCATATTGTCGTTTAGTTGAAAACATTTTTTCATTATCTTTAGAATACACTATTTCTTTAATGTAACTCCTAAAGTAGAAATCGAGAGGCGTAAGATATTGTGATCTTGGTAGCCAAGCAATTGTTCCACCCAGTCCGATCCAACAGTTGTAGCGTTAGTATAATAAATTTCTAATATCTCTAGTATCATGTATGCGGTGCATACAGAAAATTAACTTCTGTCGGATAATTTACAAACCCAGCCCGAAGTAGCAGTGAGGTTGAATAAATCAAGTAGCTTGTGGCTAATTAACCGCACTTAACAAATATTCCACCACGATTTTCTCGAAAACGGAGCCATGTATGACAACATGTCATTCTACACTACTCAAAAGAATTAGAGGGTCGTTAATGTGGGCGGTCCTATAGCAGCTAACAAGCGAAGTAATCAAAACGAGTATATTTGATAAATTGATCTTTTCCGTATAATGCTTACATCTGCTTATATTTGTACAAATACCTTTCCGGATTTTATACCTCGTATTGACGTGCGACTGCAATACATGAACCTCTAATTATTTTGAGCAGTGTTTATTTTGGACTTAATTTTACACAAAGGATCACCTCCTTTTGGATTGTATCACGATTTCGGAAATATAATGTATAATCGTAACGAGGACATGCATTAAATACTCGACGAATGTTCGAAGGTTCCTCGGCACTGACAAGGAGAGGTCTCCAGGTGTAACCCTGACGTTTTTAATAAGGTTTAGCACAGTGATAGAGCAGGGCATTCTGAAGCCAATGATATTTGTTTCAGTCGCATATGACCATTAGTTTATGAAATATTTCATGGTCGGTGCCGAGGAGTCTTCGAACACTCATCAAGGATTTACCGTATTATTATTAGAACTATAAAGAATAGTAGTGGAAAAAAACGAAACTATTCACTTACATCGTGCATGTTCCCTCGTATGAAAGAACGAGCCTGCATCATGTTAATTGGAAGCCTCATGTCCGGATGAGAGGCGTATAAATCGATATATGCCAAACAATACTTTCCCTGCACCTTTATCGTGACGTTATTCAATTTCACGTGCGCCATCACTCCCAGACACTCGTCGAAGTCTCCGAGCTGGTTCACGTTTCCTCGTAACAGGCCAGACGGTACCTTTGCACTTGCATCTAACACTTAAATGCAAAATAATACGAAACAGTAAGATTATTTTATGCATTTATAGAATTATGCGAATGTATAAAGCATTGTACAATGGAAACATGAATATACATAGAGGACGGTATACGGTCTGTCTTAGAAATTTCGGAATCGAAGTCAAAACAGCAATTTCTTGTATGATATTCACGCTGTTTAGCAGCAATTATTGAAAGTAATATTAAAGCAGTTTCCTTCTGAAGTGATCTCGTGGTCATGATAATTATGTAAACACTGGCTATATGTAGCTCTGGTAATTGTTTATCAAGATGACGGCGGAGAAAGTCGTCGAAGCCCTGTGAACGTCAAAATGATTTTAGATTGTTTCTTTGTCATCGTTTCCGATTTTGATAACACAAATAAGTTTGATGTAGCTGAAGTAGACGAAAACGGTGGATAATGCGAGATACCCTTCGAAACCGAAATGTTGTGTAAACTCATGACTCATGGAGCCACACGTTTCGACAGTCGTTCTTTCCACCTTCTTGAAGAATTATCAGAGTCATTGCCAAAGTTTCTATTAACTATTGTGAGCAGTATATCTCTTCACAAGAAAATTATTTTTAATATTTGATAATGGAGAGCATTATCATTTCACAGAAAACTGCTGTTTAGGTTTCAGTTCGAAAACTTTTAAAACAGGCCGTATAGGTATGTATACAGACAATGAATGGAATACTACATATGTACGAAGTGTCGCGTCCGTCCGCGCGGATTCTCTTTTGAATCCGCCCGGGGTTGTAAATCTCAGACTCGACCGTCATGGTACGTGTACAGTTGCGACTGTTGCCCGCCAAATTAATGTTAAGCAACCATTTCAATTTTCTCGTAACTGATTGTGAGTATAAATCGTCTTGTCGAACGTTACTTTGCGTGTTGACGATACGAGAGTTTTTAAAACAACGTGTGTCTTCGAGTGTTTGTGAACGAATGCATTTTCGAGTTTCGTGTGACGTCGCGCTTCTTCGAGGTTCGCCGAAGACGTTGCCCAATTTCGTCTCCTAATTGGTTGTGTCTTGAAAGGGAAGGCAAATTCTTAGGTTTTCCTAAGTGAAGTGCAGGTGGAAAACGTCTCCTTCAGGGCGAAGCGGACACCGGAAAAATATCACGCACGTGGTCACGATGCGACTTGACCGCGACGAATTTTCGAGAGTCTCCCAACGGTAGGAATTATAGCCGTATTGTCTGCAAGTCAGCGCGCCCCGGTAAGGCCCTGCGCGGATGAGTCCCAGGTTTTCCGTGCGCACGTGGTGACTGCAGACCAAATATTCGGGTCTTTTGTCTATTGTTCCCGTATGTCGGCGAGAATCTAAATAAACTAACAGTGGCCGATGTCAAAAAAGTCTAAAATTGAAGTTGCTAAGCGACAAACGGAGTAAAATAATCAAAGTTAACGGAATCGTCGAATTCTATAGCCGTGAAACACGAGGTGTGTGCAAAAATTTTGATAGGTTTTACTCTAAAATGATAAACCAATAATAATTTTGATTGTCATTTAATAGTAATTTAATGAAATGCATAATAATTCTTTTATGATATGTGTATTTTTAATAGAAATTTTTATTCTAATGAAAACAATTTTAGAGTATTATTATTATTGCATTTGTATAATTAAAATATGTTCCAAACAACTTTTTTAATAGGTTAGATTGATAACGATACGTTATATGTTAACATAATTGTTTATTGTTTACATAAAACCATGTCCATCATATCATCTTCAGATAATCCACCTAAACTCTTATAACTTTTGCACTGACCCATTATGCCTCAGTTTCTAATTTCTTGTAATATGTTTTATTAATATTTTTCTAACTTGTATTACAAAAACAAGAAATAACCCTAAATTTATGTTGAGCGTTGAATATTCTATTGGGTACAAAATAACAAAAAAATTACATTAAAAGATTATTAAACTATTTGTTTTATTGTGTTATGACTACTTGTATATACTGTAAATAGATCAAATCAGCAGTATAGTAATACAGTATGAACAGAATAGATGAATTATTGTTCCATGTAAGTTTTTGTAAATTACACTGTCCAACAAATTTAAACATTTTTCCTGATCTGAAATATCTATTGGGAAATCCTTATAGAGTTTCTCCTCGAAATCACGAATCCGGAAGTAGAATTTCTCCATCTACTTCAGTTTTTGGAAAACATGATCTTTCGTAAAAGCACCTGATTTTGGCGAAAAATGACATATTACGTGAAAACTGAAAACGCTAGAAAGTTCAATTTACTTTTGAAAGATAGACGAGAGTTTTCTGAATACAGCAGTGTATATAGTTCTAAAATTGTATAATTTTTACTGGTTGCAAATTGCTGTGGACTTTTAAAGAAGAGCCGATGTGCGTACTTTCTATGTACTATTTTTGCATTTTTACGAAAAGTTCTTTGCGTTATTAGTAAGTCATACGTATAATACATGCATCGAACATTGAAATAATTTGAAACTAAAAGTGATCGGAGAATCTTAATTACAATTGCAGGAACATTGTACATACGACAAGGGTGTGCCCATTGAATACACATATCGCTGTCGATTACGCGTAGCTACGGCGTTGAAGAGTCGAGGTAAGCGAGCAATGGCCGCTTGGCGGCAAAACGCCACGCACATGTTGCTCACGGATATTTCCCCGACCTGTTCGAATTAAAAACTGTTCCGAAACTTTTTTTTAGATGGTTTCTTCTACAGAAATGTCTACAGAATCCAATACAATGTAGCAAATTCGTGCTGAGCCAAGAACTTTTCGTAAAAATGCACAAATAGTGCATAGAAGATACGCACTTCGGCTCTTTTTTACATTTTCACGGCAATTTACAACCAGTAAAAATTATACAATTTTATAACTATATACACTGTTGTATTCAGAAAACTCTTCTCTATCTTTCAAAAGTAAATTGAACTTCCTAACCTTTTCAGTTTTCACGTAATATGGCATTTTTCGCCAAAACCAGGTGTGTTTACAGAAGGTCATGTTTTTCAAAAACTGAGAGAGATGGAGAAATTCTGCTTCTGGATTCGTGATCTGGACGAGAAACTCTATAAGGATCTCCCAATGGATATTGCAGATCAAAAATCGTGTAGAACAATGTTATTAAATGCATACTAAAATTACATAACGTTCTATAATATTTTTTGCAACAAAGTAAATGATTGTATCTAAAGATATATACAGACACTGCGAGGGTGGCTTGCACGGCTGCTTCGCGAGACATGCCCCGCGAAGCAGCTGCACAAGCCAGCCTCGCAATGTCGGTACATAGGTTCATTTTTTTATAAATGCTTTAGAAGAAATTTATGGTATTATTTGTAGTTAATCATTATATTTGTAAGTCAATAGTATAGCCCATAGCATCAGGCATATTTTACTCGTATTTCTCTCGTATTTTCAACAATTAATAACTGCCAAACGGAGCCCCGAACTTGATTTTCGTCTATAGTTTTACATGTACAATCTACCATATGAAAGTGTCCCACATTTTTATCAAAACCATGTATGTATAGTCTAGACCAGGTAAACAAAAGAATTGTCATTTCATAGAATACCAAGTAATTTAAATTCCTTAAAAAATTACACTGACAGTATTGATAGAACAATATTATCACGTTGAATATAAAGTGTATCTGTTCATGTACCTACATGTGTGAGCATGAAAACTAACAAAACAGTTTATATTAAATGAAACATTATTTAGATTCCTATTGAAGTTTTTAATTTGTACATCAATGTAAAGTACAAACGCAATCATTGCATCCAAACTTTCAAACTACACAGTATACATTTCTTCCTGATTATAATTAATTAAGAAACTTATTGAATAATTAATTTCCTGATACGCGAATATAATATGATTGCAACGTTTGTTTCCTTACGTTGAAATAACCAACTTTAGACAGGAATTTATGCCATTTCACAGTCCCGAAATCTAATCATTCATAATTGAAAAAATGTTCGCTTACTTTGCAGGGCCCACAACTTATGTCCCCTGAGCTGTCGCAGAAAGATCATCCCGTGCTGCTGACACTCGAGATCCTCTATGGCCGTAAAGTTTGGCACGAAGGTCGGCACGCTTAGTAACGCATCGTTCAATTGACCCAAAGTGGAAGGGACTTTCGCGTGTACTTTCGTTCTTTCTTTCGAAACTTCTACAAATAATTATCGAAAAAAATGAACTGAAACGTTAACGACACAACGGTTCACAAATTTCAATGAGTAAAACGAACGCAATACTCACTATCGAGTCGTTTAACTTCAGCGGTTTTAGCCGGAGTAGCTCTCACACTCACTGTTTCCACTTTCTTCTTTTCGGGCTGCTTCGCTGGTTCCTTCGACTTCGCCTTTGACGCTTCTGTTGTGACCGAAATCATTTCCTTTTCCTTTGGTTTCACTGCAACCATCTTCGTCTCTGATTTCGATGTAATTATGGGTTTAGACGATTCAGGGTCAGATTTCGTTGTTTTAGCTGTTTCAACATTTTTCGAGACTACAGGCGACTTCCATTGGATCTCCGTCGGTTTCTTCGCCGTTTCTACACTTTTCTCCTCTTGCTTCTTGACAGGCTCCGCTGGTTTCTTTGTTTCAACCTTCAGTTTCTCTATTACCGGTGTTGGTAACTCTGTAGATTTTACTTTATCCTTATCGGCATATCTGACTTTTTCCAGCTTCTTGGGAGGAGGAGTGACAACCTCTTCTGATTCTTCGTCACTCCCATCTTCATCCTCATCTTCATCCTCGTCATTATCCTCATCCTCATCGTCATTTTCGTCTTCATCTTCACCTCCACCTCCACTTCCGCCTCGATCCTCACCTTCATCTTCATTTTCATCCTCATCTCCATCTTCATTTTCAACTTCATCTTCATCTCCCACAACATTTTCATCCTCATGTACTTCATCCTTTACCAGTCTCTTACGTGATTTAATTTCTTTCGAACATTTCTCCAACTTTTTCTTTCTTATGTCTTCTATATCATCACCGTCACTGCCTTCCATATACTTGACCTTCTTTAATCCTTTGAACAATGTAGCTTCATTCTTCTTCAAGCTTTCGTCCTCTTTACTTTTCTTCACAGTTAATTTCATTTCCCCCTTCCTCCTATCCACCTTAACTTCCTGTTTTTCATCTTCAACAGATTTCCTCTTAACCTTGTAATACTCCTTTTCTTCTTCTTCGGCTTCTTCACTTTTCTCCTCTTTTTCATCACCATCCTCACTAGAATCGTCCACTACATCTTCACCACTCTCGTTATTTTCCTTACTATCCTCCTCCACTTCCACCATCACATCTCCGTCGTCGTCATCCTCCAACTCAATACTCCTTTCTTGACTCTTGTCATCAACATGTCGGTTCGTCGAGTGTCCAATTCTTTCGGGCTTCGCACGTGCCCCTTCCCTGTCATCATCGTCGTCCGACGTCATCTCGACAGGTGATTTTCGGCGGGTCGCGAGCTGTGGCGGTGGCGGCGTCTCGTGCCACTTTCGACTGGTGGATGGAGTCGGAGTCTTCTCCTGGCATCTGCCAAAGATGGAAGATGCGCAGATAGCTCGATGTAATTGTTCCCCGGATGTAAAGATCGTCTGCGGCCCGTGCTCGCGTATTTTGAAGCCATAACAGCAAGTGTAGAATAGAAGGACGAGCGCTGATAAACCGATGCACTTGCCCAAAAGGGCGGCAGCCATGTCACCGCAGCATTCACATGGAAGAACCGCTGGTGGAGCACTGGTCCCGAACTCAATTGGTCAACTGGTTCACCAATTTAGTATGGCATCGTCACGATCAGCAACAACAGCGACGATTACTTTCTTCACGAATCCTCCTTCGTTGTTGACGATCGCCTGGCTTCCCTCTCCTCACCACGAGGAACAGTTAACCCGGAGAGCTTCAAGAGACTATCAAATCGGAGGACAAGCCAGACCCCGGGCCGCTGCGTACACGAGCGGCCGTTTCTTCGTGAAAATTAGAACGGATGGCAAGTGCCCAACCAGCTAGAAGTTTTATTTAGCATCAACATTTCAGAGGCAGACCAATCGAGCCTACACGCACGCGCCAAGCAGAAAGAACCGTGGCGGCGTTCGCGCCATGCGGTCCCCCGCGCTTCGTTACGCAATCCAAGAAGCTAAAGCTCACTACTGACCGGTCACCCCGCCTAAGACAGCTCCAAAATAATGTCCGATACTTCGCCCACGACGCGCCTACCGACTCATCCGCCGAAGGCTACCACGGATTCTCTTCGAATTTGTTGCCCTGGTTACGTCTGCGCTAAAGTAGAAAGCGTCTGGTATGCAGTTTTTGGGAACTGTCCAGATGTTAAAAACTGTTTCATTTGTCGTTCGTGTATTTTTTCCTCTTTTTTTTTATCGATAGAGAAACTTTTCTTTTGCACGTTGCGGCAATAAAGTAGTAGTCGGAAGGGAATTCATAATTGGTATTTTTTTTTTGTATATATACATATATACAACGTGTACCTAATTGAACAGACGTTAACTTGCAACCTAACAGAAAAATCAGTTCCGAAAAAGTTTCTTCGAAAATTATGAGTCTTGTCGTAGAAATTATTAATCTTACCATTGGAGCCGGAACTTTTAAGAATCTTTTAAGAAACTTTTCAGAATATTTCAGATCTATATTTATGTAAGATAACCGAAGTTGAACGAACTAATTGTCTTGATTTCCAAATAAATTGTAATGTATATATAATAATTATTTTTAACATTTCTAATGTTTAATAATTTTAATAATTACGAGAATTTTAATAGTTTATGTCATTCTTTATAAAAGTCTTTAAGGGTACCAGCAGCTAGTATTCTAAGATTACTTTTGTTTCTTTAACTTATTTTTCTGTTGAGAAGGGTTTGTCTAAAATCTAGTAAATGTACATTTACAAATACATCCTTTCAATGTTAGTATTAAAAACTGTATTGCGTTTAACGAACGAATAATGCAAACGAAAATGTAAAATAAAATTTCTTTATTTCAGACTCTGACTTCAAGATACATAACTGTTCAACAAATTTTAACTTTTTTTCGTTTTTGTAACCTTTAATATACTGATAGATCTTTATGATCTGAATACGCATCTGCAAACCATTTCTTTCCAGTGCGTCTAGTTTTTGAAAAAATTACAAATTTTCAACTTTGGAGCTGTGTTGTGCTTTTACAGTAATAGTTATTCAATTCCTTTTGACACGAAATAATTCTCTGGACTTTTCCGAACAAAATTATATAAATTTATATTATATTATAGACATCTAAATATATTTAAATAGTGTTCAAAATGAGAAGGACACCGAAAAAACACCACATTTTGATGATATTCTTCAATTTATTACCAAAATTAAGGGTCCAGGGAAAAATCTAACCACAGCACGCGACAGAGCAGACCTTTCTGCTCAGGAAGGTGTCAGAGAAAGTTGCAAAATATGTTTTGTTTTAAATAGGGAAGCGAAATAGTTCAGCAAAACACGCGGCGACGACAGTAGTGGCCGTGCGCGTGTTCAGCGCTTCCACTACGTTGAGCGACAGGCAACGCGACCGCCGTTATTGAGTACCACTGTCGCCGCCGCATGTTTTGCTGAACTATTTCGCTTCCCTATTTAAAACAAAACATATTTTGCAACTTTCCTTAACACTTTCCTGAGCAGGAAGGTCTGCTCTATCCCGTGCTATGGTTAGATTTTTTCCTGGACCCTTAATTTTGGAAATAAATTAAAGAATATCAGCAAAATGTGGTACTTCTTTCGGTGTCCTTCTCACTTTGAACATTATTTAAACATATTTAGATGTATATAATATAATATCAATGTATATTTATTTTTCTCCGGAAAAGTCCAGAGAATTAGTTCATGTCAAATGAAACAGAATAACTATTACTGTAAAAGCACAACACAGTTCCAAATTTGAAAATTTACAATTTTTTTAAAAATCGGATGTGCTGGAAAGAAACGGTTTGCAGATTCGTATTCAGCTTATAAAGATCTATTAGGAACGCTTATTGAAAATTGCAAAACTTTTTACGCGTTGAACGGTGTATTAGTCTTTCATGTTAAATAAATAGGGCCAGTGATATAGTATCATCTACTTTTTACCATCTCTAAAAAACAAAAACGTTACCTTAAAGATAGAAAACTTGACAAGAAACAGATTTTGTCACACATTACTCCATTTTTTTATATGTACATATATGTTTAGTTAATAAATATTTATTGTCTTGTGAAAACTTAATTGTATTTTCTCTTTAGATATGAATCACTAAAATGCAATATATTAACACTTAACCGGTCCCTCTTGCGCCAATGTAAGTTCACGAGTGCAACGGTTATTAGTCGCTCTTAGATCCACATAAATTCATTTTTTTTACTATACTTTGTCGTTTATAACATGTCCTACGTTCATAAGTGCGATAGTTGTTTGTCAATTTCAAATCTGCGTAAGTTGACAGGCTATATAAATTATACTTCACGAAAAAACGTAATTCCACAATGTTTATATCTTCCAATTGTTGGGTAACTCTTCACATGTGTGACCGATTTAAAAAATAATCATATCCTTCTTAATTATTAGTTTATAACATCCATAAAATTGATATATTCTTAAATATTTTTATTTGTGTCTCAGTTTTTTAATTCTTCATATGCTAATTTCTACTGATACAATAAAGCGTATATTCATTCGCTTCATCATATGGTAAATATTCAGGTCTGAAGTGTACCACAGATATACTCAAAAGTATTATACATATACTCAAAAATTATGTACAATTAATCATAAGCAATTTATCACTGTGACAATAGAGTTGACTTAAAATATCATTTAACTTCAAGAAAAATGTTATTGTTGTTCATATTTAATAGAAAATTGATGCACGTATTGTGTGATAACTGAATATATACTACTAATATTACTGGTAATATTAAAACGTGTTATTAGGGAAAACTGAATTATTTTAAGGAACACACTTTTCGGCATACATAATTCATTTTTTATACACGATAATGTCAAATACATTTCAAAGTCCATAACTGTTTTTAAACGAAATAGAATATTTTTCAATATGTACACGTAAGTGTTTTCACATTCAGACGAATTCAATGACTGTAGTCACTTAGTGTCAATCAATGTCATAAATTTATTTATAATATTCTAATGTCTTTGTTTATTATCATTTTAGCAGATGTTTAAAGTTTTATCCTTTCACTTGTCCACATTTGACAATTGTTTTCCTTCCTTGAAACGTTGCTACTATGTTTCAAAATATTGCTTTCATTAGTCGTAGCGAAATTATTAAAGTGAGCTGCTAAAGATCATAAGAAATGAACAAGTTTTCTGAATTGTTTGACTGTTGATTGTGTTAGGCAAGTATTACAAAAATTAGAGGCGTGGAAATATAATAGGAAAAACTAAGAAAGAAGAACAAAACAATGGCGGACAATATTGTTGCACATGCAGCTAGTGGCCGCATAGCAGTCGAAACTGGTATTAATTAAAAATCCGTACTGAGTATTTTCTTTTGGGTTTTGAGATTAGGAGCGCCACCATAGTTCCGAAGATCTGTACAAAACGCACAGAACTGCGGTCATAGTGAACGATTTTTTTCAAATTTACGGCACTCGTTGATAACCGCGAAAAAATGAACCATGCCAAATTTTAGCTTCCTATCTCAACCCGTTTCCGAGATATTTAATGTTAAAGTTTTGAAAAATTAGACGATATTAACTGACACGACATTATTTCAATCTCAATATTTTGAGTATTCTTAAACATAGAGAATTGATCTTGCTCTCATTTTAAAGCTAAAGAAACGTATTATCTACTGGTCTGCATACAATTTTGTTCATTGTTAATAAATACAATAACAATTACAGTTACATTTTTGAAAGCCGTTTTGATACTGTTCCCACCCATGGATCAATTTGGAAAACATACAACTGGATTCCTCAAATCTTCAGCTTTAAAATACGAGGTTTCAAAAAGATGGAGCGATTTCGGGAACATTAAAAAAAAAATAAAGTTTACCACGATGTATGTCGCGTGGCGTATGCCGATACCGGGATGAGCCAAACAGTTGCCACGTGTCGCGCGTCGTATTATATCCGGTAGCGCACAATGGTATCGGTTTCACAAGATACACTTCTTTATCGTAACGTGTAGAAAAGTGTATGTATCTTTTACACTACCTAAATTTTATTATCAAGTGTTTTGTTACGTTATCACATTTATTTTCCTGCTATTTATTTGGCAAATTAATGTCATTTTCCAACTTCCGTCACCGATGATTTGCATCTGTAATTAGCAAAAATATACAAACGCCAATGGGAATCAAAGAATGTCAATATTTACAAACATTTTAAGAAAACTCTCATTTTATAGATGAAGGATTAACACATGTAACGACGTTTACAATATGGAGTGTGGCCAGTTAGAAGTACCTACATATTTTGAAAATATACATCCAATAATGTGTATTTTACAGAGGACGGACTGCAGCAGAAGACCCATTTTTAGATTTAGTTTAACCGCTTCGAATGTCGTCGAGAAGAAGGTCGACGTTGAGACTCCAATTTTATTGTATCATATTAATATACTTTAACAGTTTTCTTAAAATGTTTGTAAATATTGACATTCTTTGATTCCCATTGGCGTTTGTATATTTTTGCTAATTACAGATGCAAATCATCGGTGACGGAAGTTGGAAAATGACATTAATTTGCCAAATAAATAGCAGGAAAATAA